TGTAGATTTGTGATAGTAACAATGCGCAGAATTGAGAAATATCAGTATCCAAATGTGCGGGTTTGTGAGGCAACAAGAGAGAGAAAGGAAAAAGAGATGTAATGCTTGAATTTTAATGCTTGAATATTAGAGGAAAGAGCGATCACGAGCTGAATTGAACTGTCAATGATGAGTTTGGAAGCTGCACCTCATCCTCCGACTGACTGCTGCAGCTTTATCGACACTGCTTTTTTGAATATATCATTTTGGATCTAACGACCTAGCAAAATCTAGATCTTAAAGTTTAATCGCCTCTTTCAAAGTTCTTTCCTAGACTTTCGAACCTAACATTACTTGAGCTTCTTTGGGAGGCGCGATTTCCCAATTTCCAATCCATGCATCCGCGGGGGTTTGGATCTTGCCAGTATTTGAGAGCCGATGTTGTTCAAAAGGCGCACGGCGAGCTCTACTTATACTGACGTATAGCAAATAGTTTCATACTGACATAATCCTTGGGCTTGCTGTAAATACACTACTTCTCTGCCATGGCCAATTGACTATTAGACCAGCGGCAAAACTTGCCGGGCAACTGAAAACAACCATCTCATACAGATCTCAGATCTTGCCAAAAGAGGGCAAGAAAATAACAATAGACCTGAATTCAAGTCGTCGAGAAATTCAAAAAGAGGAAAGCGAACTCAAGATGAGACATCCCTTGAGTTAATCAAGAAAGGGGGAAGCCTCTGCAGTTCTCGCTTACAAGATTCATGACTTTGAGAAGTGGACTGGCAAGGTCAGATAACAAGCATCCATAGGTCATTTCAAGACCATTGAGATGCAATCAGCTATTTAAAAAGGCGAGCTTTCAATCCCCATGTTCTCCGGACACATATTATGTGTGAAGAGCATTTGTAGTCGACTGTACCTAGTGGCTAAGTAGTTTAGGTTGATCTTTCCCCCTTTGTCAATAATTTCCTAAAATCAGTGCTGCTGATGAAATAAAAACTGTCAGTTGACGTTCCCCAGTTCTGGATCAACTAATCCCTTGACATTGTACAACGACTACAACGTTTAAACTATGTTGTCATGTTATTGAAATACAAGAACTTTAAGTGGTTGGCTGACAAAGTTGCTATCTTGGTCAGTAAAGCTACCTATAATAAATTTGGCGCGTCGCGACTTTTCCACTTTAGCACGCGTTACCCCAATTCAATCCGTACATACATAGCAGTGAGGAACATTCTAACTTAGCATTGGGATACAATTTTGAAATAACGACAAAATGATACGTCAAGACCCAAACAGATTCTCCAAGAGACAAAAGCCAGACTATAGGAAAACTCAATTTGCAGAAAAGCCCGCCTACAAAGATCTCAACTACCCGCACCGTTTGAATTTCTACACGATACCTCCTACGGCTGATATAACTCTGGAACAATTTGAGCAATGGGCTATTGATCGCCTGCGAGGTATTTCAGCAACTTAGTCATCCTGCGAATATATAATAACATAGAAAATAGTTCTCGCAGAACTCGAAGCATGTTCCTTCAGAAACAGAACCCCTGCCGAGACAGCAGCCCACATGAAGCCCCTTCTCGATAAATATTTACCACTTTCTGCTTCTTCGTCTGGATCTAGCGCACTACAGGCCGAGAGACAGAAGGATCACTATAGTCATTTTATCCTGCGGCTTGCTTTTGCTTCTACAGAAGACTTACGAAGACGATTTTCTCGTGTGGAGTCTATGTTATTCCGTTTGCGGTTCCAGGCAGACGATTTAAGAGAACGGCAATCATTTGTGGAGGGCCTTAATCTAGATTGGGAGACGGTGAGTGAGGATGAGAAAAGAGACTATTGGGAGCAATTGAAGGGTGCAGCCGGCAGAGATAAGATGAGAATTGAAGAAGAGAGTTGGTTCAAAGTAGACTGGGAGAGAGTGCCGGAATTAGTAGAGAGTCGGAGAGTATTTTTAAAGGGTGGAAAGGCGTATGTTCATTCCAGGGAACAACTATCGATGGTTGTTGCGGAATTTACAGGCAAGCTGGATAAAGCTTTGGAGGTTTGTTTGATTTTTCTAACTCCTTATTACGAATTATTCTAATCGCTCACTCAGATCACATCTCGCGCACTTCCTCGGCTCGATGAAGATGATCGACTAACACCAATCCTCACACATCTTTCTCAAAACTTTACCACACCGGATGCAAATTACTCCAGCTCAGCAACTGCAGTCGATGGAGCTGACATATCCGCCCGTAACATCGATGCACTCTCCTCTTCATTCCCTCTCTGCATGCAAAACCTCCATAAATCCCTCCGCCGGGATGCACATCTCAAGCATTACGGTCGTCTGCAATACACCCTATTCCTCAAGGGTATCGGCTTGAACCTGGAAGAATGTCTCGTATTCTGGCGTTCTGCGTTCAGTAAAATTACAGATGATGTCTTCAATAAAGAATACAGATACAATGTTCGTCACTCGTATGGTGATGTGGGAGGAGATTCGAATCGCAGAGGCAATGGGTATTCTCCGTTTAGTTGCCAGAAGATATTGACGGAGCATCCTCCGGGACCAGGAGAATCACACGGTTGTCCTTATAGACATTTTAGTGTGGACAACCTAACTTCATTATTGCGCGCCGTGGGCGTGAACGACCATGAGGTTTTGAGGGGAGTAAAAGAAGACAAAGAGAAGCAGAAGTTCCATCTTGCTTGCAATAGGTATGTTATGCAAGAAATGCTCCTTTGACAGCTGCTAACAGGTAATGTCTAGAGTCTTCGAGTACGCACATAAGCAGGAGATTAAGAAAGTAAAAGATGATGGTACATGGGGCGCAGCACAATTAGAAACCATTGTACACCCCAATGAGTACTTTAAACGAAGTTATCTACTCAAAAATATGGGCAAAAACCCTGCTGTAGGGGAGGATGTCAAAATGGATGGTTAAGTAATGTATGAATTATATATGACATAGGTTAGTACTGGCGTTACTGGTTGGGAGTAGAGAGTGTCTTTTACGTCCTGTATGATAAGATACCATAATCAAGACTCAATGTCCTCTTGTTTTAGTGAGGCAAGCAATGCATACATCAAGAGTACACCTTGACTCTAATCACACTTCTTTCTTCTGAGCCTTCTCGTTCATTTTACACTCGTCTATTCTTCCTGAACACATAATGTTCGCACGAATTTTCCGACGATACTCCGTCTCTGCTGCTGTTTCCTGGCACTTTCTTCGACCTTTTTGGTTAACCAGACACTGACTTGCTCCGATAGCTTCAAGAAATGGCCAAAGAATCAATCTTCCCCCTTGCTGGTTTCTAGACAATGTGCATTCTAGATATTTTAGTAATCGGTATATTTGGCCAAGGATTCGCACCACAAAGTCAGTCATCTCTCGCTATTCACTCTATTCAAGTGCCCCACTCCACATTACGATTTATATCAAACAGCAACTTTGCGCTAACACTTTGTGAAGCACTCACTCACGCACAAACAGTGCACCAAAAAACACTCAACTACTACCCATCTATCCAAATCTCGAAATCAAACAGTCCTCGCCCTTTCAAATAAATGATTTCAAGCTGAAATGGCTGCCAATTTACACACGGAGTCTGCTATAAGCCGAGAAGGATACACACCCTCAGAGCTTCCAATGCTAGCCTTTGGTTTTGGTTTGGGTGCCATCTTGGGATTTGTCGCTTGGTACATCATGTATTTCTACATGCTTAATTTTGTATTCCCTCGAATTGATGGAGTGTCGGCTCAAAGGATTCTCCAGAGAGATCGTAGGATCTCTGGAGTCGATGATTAGGGACGAGATCTGTTGATGTAGATGGTGTGAGTCAGTGGAGACTGTGAGAGTACCATCGCGCAACGAGGTATACCTCTTAACGACGAAGGTGGTATGATATCGGTGTTTGAGACTTGAGGAAGAGCTGCGGGTTGAGCTGAGTCAGGTCGATCTATGTTGGAAACTATACACACCATGGCACACTCAGCTTCAACAATTTCGAGTTCCATCACCGGAAAACGACGACAATCAATAAATCAACACAGTAAATCCTTCTAGCCGCAATTGATACTCTACACTTTATGAATTTTTCTTCAGTGGATGCTGAGAGAAGATTATTGGTGCTTGGAGTCAGAAGCTATATGGATTTTCTTCCTCAGCAAGTACGGACGATCCTCCAACCTCCAACCTACCGCCCTCACTAGCTAATTTGATTATTTGACAGACTATAGAATTTATATCGCGCTCACTACCCTACCTGTGACGAATGCGGATTTCACACATTCCCATTCCGGTGGTTAATCTCTTGGGGCGTTGTGTTTTAGATTAACTAAATCTATTTGATTGCAAACATCGATTAATAATTTCACTTAAGTTGCCATGATAAAATGTTTTCGTTTCGTATTCAATTTCAAAACGTAAATACGCAAAGAATTCTCACGTTTATTTTCCTCATTCGAATCGTCAAGTGCAATTCTGCCCCCCAAAATAGCCGAAAACGGCAATTTCCACATCATTTCCCAATTAAGCTTTTCGTACACTTTTTCTCAACCTCCTTCTATATTCACTTACTTCCAATAAATAATACATGATGCTCGTATTTTTTGCTTTACAAGATTTTCAAAACTTTAGATAATGGGAAGAACATATAACTTACACGGGTCAAGAAATAAGAATATGTTAGATCTCCACCATCTCAACGCAGCGACTGTCGTGTGTGGATTGTTTCTGGGAGTTATGTTGGCGCTAATCTTTTTCATTGTTACATTTAGGGTGGCGGTGGATCATATGCAGGAATTGGAGGGACCAGGGATTGTCTAAGGGGGGATGGGGGCAAGAATCGAAAAAGATGCTTCTGAGTTGGAGATGCGTATGAGAGATCAAGCTAGGCCTGTGAACAATGCAGAGAGGATGAAATATCTACTTTGGGAGACTCTGCGTAGATCTATTACTAGCCTTCGAGGGGGGGTGGCGTGGGGTGAAGGTAGAGACAAGGTCTACAGGACCATGAGTATAGGTATGAAAACCCTGGAGTTGTGAGTATGGTATTTAAGATGGTCCAGATAGTTCCTTTGGCTAGATACTAATGGGAACATTCATATATCTAGATTACACAATTTACATGGCAATATTCAGATTCACCGCTATAGTGGCATCATACAATCAGAGACTATTAATCTTATTTGGCTTGTTATTTATCATATTCACTTTCGGCGAAAGACTAGTACGGATGGCAGATTGCAAGGCTGTAGCTTGCTCTGTAATTGCTATTTATACTCCTCCAACATGTCGACAACATCAAGGCATAATTTCATTATCGATACAATCGTCAAAATCTGTACGTACCAGTCTCTCTGTTTCCCCTTGCTGCAGCTAATTATCACCGGCCAGATCATCCAATTTTGCGATCTGGTTTCGTAGCAGAAGACATCATAATCGAAGGTCAAAGACATTGAGGAACAGAGGACTAGTCATTGACAGATACTCTTTGCATATTATCATCGTGGTTCCACAAACCCCTTCGACTACAGCCTCGATCTAGATCCGTAGATATTTCCCAGATACACGTCATAGAAATCAAGATCCGAAAGCTTCCAGCAATAACATAACATCAACGACACAACACCGTTTAGAGATCCAATCAACGTAAGCAAAGAATCGAATATTGAAACTATGGAAAACCTGTCTCTTTTCTCAGAATTTGAGCATTCTGGAAGTGTCAATGTTAGCGAACGGGCTGTCGACAAGACTGCAGCAATCGTGATGTTCGTTATCGGGATGTTGTTAGGACTATCCTTCTTTATAGTTACACTACGACTTTTCGATGAAACCATCCGACCAAAATACTTCCCATCACTCCCAAGCTTTCGCAGTTCCACAGAAAGAGTTACTACAAGCTCAGGTGGCACAGCTATCACACCGTTAGAGAGATATGGGGGATTGATTTAGGTGTGGGTTGAAGGATTGTATGTTGGAGCTGTGTGGGTGGATTCGAGTTGATTGAATTGGGAAATATCGATTCTGTTGACAGAAATCATGGGTGGCGCGACTGGTTCAAGCTTTCGGGGTTAATCATGTGGTCATATATATCCCCTTTGCGCATTTCGAAATTAGGCAATGGTAAATAAAGAGCCCCGGTCTCATATTTTGGTATATACTGTGTCTTTCTTATTCGTTAACTGATTGAATATTTTTCTAATGTCTTTGTTATGCATCTTTGTTGTGTATGGCTCGCGATTGATATAAAGAAATGCGGAAAGATACTGGATTATATTGTTTGTACTTATTTATTTTCAATCACTATCTTCATATTTTGGTCGAAATATTTTCTGTTACTAATCATGGCAACGCGAGAAACGCCCTTTGCAGGGAAATATGGACATCCTCGAGGCCCAGGTCACGAACTACTCAAGGAGTGGCTCCCTTTGAAGAAAAGTGGATTGACACCGGCCTCACCAAGTGTAGTCGATTGGAGAAAGCTAGTGTCAGCAGATAGCCATAAGGCATTAGAGAATTACCAGAGAACGAGATTTTGGGGTAAGTGATCAGTTATTTCATGGAGTAGCCAAAGCTAACTTGTGACAGGGTTCACTGCTCGTGAATTAGAACAAATTGGAGCACTGGCAGATACCAGGCCAGGTAAATGGGATTCAGATTCAACGACTGGACGAGCCGACCTTGACACAATTCCGATACACCCTATCTTTGAGAGGAAACACTGGGAAAGAGAAGATGTGATCCCATTACATTTTCCTAAACATCCATATGGAGATGGCAACAAACTCTGGGAGGTAAGTGTAGGACTATCAGGTTGCAGGAATTGGATTTACCAGTGGAACTAGATCAAAGGCAACGACGAAATATGGGAGGCATTACAGCCCGCTCTCAAAATTGTTACTCTTGTGTTGTCAAACTTTGCTACTTGGCAGTGGTACCACTCTCGATTTTATCTATTGTCGTGTTACTTTGCTGACAGAAGAAGGTTCGATGCACTACTCAATGGCATGTACGAGAAAATACCTGATGATGAACTACCTGCAGAAATCAGAGGGTCTGATTACTGGCGTTTTTATCCTTCAGAATCTCTCAACCATCAGGAGCGAACAACTGCGTTCGGTGAATTCTTGAATGAAATAGTAGGTTCAATAAGTTGGGGCTTCGGAGTAGGACAAGTCTCCTTGGAATGTTTTCCCCAAGATGGGTATGTAAACGAATTACACCCTTTGGTGTCTTTCACATGAAACTCTGTATCCCAAGCTCAAGTCTTATCCTCTATTTGTCTCATGAACATCCAATGTAATTCCTAATTTAGCTTTCATTTCTTATTTTCCCCGAAACTATTCTTGCACGGGGAACACTGACTCCCCTGGCATGAACAGGACCTATACGAACGGTATAACAGTTGGCCCTAGAAACTCACTATTAAATCTCAAGGGTACTGCCTTCATTTTAATTGCTCATGATTTAGTCGAACCGCTGTTGAATCCAAACTTGCTGCCGGAAGATAGAGCACTAGACACCTTTCAAATCGTCTCTGTGGTACTACACGAACTCACGGTTCGTGACTCTTCACTATTTTGGATGAAAAAGTTTCATTGCTGACTCGAAAAGCATGCAATGGTTACCTATCTATCGGCGAAAATGAAAGATACAGATTCGAGATATGACGGGGAGCCTTATTTCATGGACGAGCCGATTGCTGAGACGTGAGCATCCAATTGAGCTCACTTGTTGAATCCAACTAACGTATATATCTCAAGTGGATTCTCCATGCAGACATCCGTATGTTGTAATACAACTTTGTGTATTGAATACTAATGTTATTCAGGTATTTGGAGGAATCGACATACCACTAGTCAGCGGTCTGGATCTCCCGGGCAAGTCTTGTGGAGGAATGGTTCAGTAAGTGATTGTTGTGTCTTACATCTGGCTAGCAATGCTCACTCGGAATTCAGATTTAATTTCCCCAGTGTGTGGTTTGGTGGAGTCTCAGGAGGTCCTGTGCTTTCTCCGTCAGAAACTCAGAAACTGTGGGATATCAGAGCGTCATATCCAGTACCTGTGGATTGGTTTATGGGGCTACATGATCAAAACTTCTGGAGTTTTTACTTACGAGCGTAAGTACCATGAACATATCACACAATAGACTTTCAGGGCTACGATCTAAATCATTCATTATAGTTTCGGTCCCAAGGCCACACACATGGGTCCAAAGATTGTTGGGCAATGGAATTTTAAAAGCGATCAACTATATGCAACAGCTCCTAGAGGCGATGAAGACATCACTTCTATCGATGTGCCATTGTTAGCACGAGAATCTGAGATGGTATCGGTTTATATAGAAAATGCGCGTCGGAGAAGAGTTGGAAGGATCATGGAGAGGGCTCAGAATATAAATCCAAAGCAACCAGGGCATTATCGCTATTCGCAACGAGTAGCCCTGAAAGATAAAGCTCCGTACTCAGGTCAAGCTGTGGGCATACTTTGTTCTTTAATCCTGCATCTTCTTTACTCAAGGATACTCTCATCATATGTGTTTTTTCTCCCACCAGTTCACAAGAAATTTTTTATGGAAGATTTTCTCTTATTTCATTACATGGCCAGATACTGACTCGCTATTACTCTAGTGTCCAAGATACGACGAGATTAAGAAATATTTTGAGGATAACAAAACCGCTTTGGGACTAGGAGCCATGAAATTTATCATACCTTCACCCTTATTACGAAGTTATGTTATACGCCACGGTGGAATCAGCCTCACAAATTCAGAATGGACCAACTTTTTTGTAGTAGCGAATGGTCATAAGGAAATGTTCACGTAAGGATCCCTCTCATATATCTAAGGCGTTTTTAAACGGCATGATATACTTATAGACGAACAGATATAGTCACGCCGCACATGGAATGATTGGCTTACTCAAAGATGGCTGGAGGAGACCGGAAATCCCAATAGGACCTGTACGTCAACCATCACTACTGCGTCGAGTATCAACTAGACTTCAACCTTCTGCTTCAACGCCCAAGCGTGATCAACCGCAGCCGCCAAGCGATAAACTAGCAAAAGTATTCGCAATTGTGTGCTCTGCTGTACTTAAGAAGGTTGATCCCCTAGAAGCAACATTAGATTTCTGTAAGAACAATTTTCGGAAAACGTTTAATGTTGCCTGGGGTTTAAACAGGGATCTCCTCCAGAAACAGGGTTATGAGATCTCGGATATGCCGGATGGATTTCCAGAGGATTCAAAACATCTTGATAGATGCATATATTACTCGGAATTGTTTGATAATGAGGCTCCAAAAGGAATGGTTAGAAGAATGAGATTTGAGGCACCAGCGCTTATAGAGCCAGAACTACGTGGCAGTAAAAAGTTGCGGAAGAAGTGTGTGTTTCAAAGTCAGGCTGTCAGGTGAAATTATTAAGATTGAGATGTGGGATTTTATGTTTACCTCTGTATCTATTTGTTTACTTGTCCTCCGTTTTTTTCATCACTAGTATCAACTCTCGGCCTTTATAGGATTTAAAAATCAACTATAGAGAAATAGGCGCCCCCAGATTATTATTCTAACAGCACATTGCTGTTGAAGAGACCGATGCGTTGATATGCACATCATATAGGATGAGGCGTTTGATGAGTATGGGCAACCTGAGGTAAATTCATTATCCAGTTCTGTAACACTGCGTCGCAAGTATACATTATGTGATTTGCATTCATTTCATAATCAAAGTAGTATATTTGAGAATGAAGGGGCGGTTTGTGAACTCTAGGCTGGTTGTATGGCAATCGTGTTTCCTATTTCTGGCAATAGACTTGTTTCTGTAGCCTATTCCTCTAATCGCAAGCCAATAGCCTTGTTAGTTTCATATTCAATGGCATACTACTTGCTTCCAACTTGAACAATCTCTTGCTCCCTCTCTAGAGCCTGTAATCACATCTTGGCCTCCTCAAATCCGTGTCCTCCAAGATACTTCTTCAAGCAAGCGACTATTCTCCTTGCAACCCTGCTCTATCCTTTTCGAAATCACACACATGATATATTATCTTCCATTGTCATACACATCCGGCAAGTGTACATGCTGATACCCCTTGAAAAAGACATAGCTCTGCACTATCTAATTTCCAACAACGTCCTCGTTATCAAGTATTCTGATCAATTTTGTCGCCCATAAAGCGGGTATAGCCTTCTCATTCGTCCACTCCGTACACTTCCAGAACTTTGGTACTTCCTCCTCATCTCTATACGGCGTCCCATCTACTTTACAAGCTTCCATCTTCATGCTTTTCGGATTAAACCATCTTTGTCTTGGAGGCGGTGGAATACTCTTCAGAACTCCTGTTACTTCCTCTAAATCAGACACAGCGACTTCGCCCAAAAGAGTTCTTTGATAGAATGACTCGAAAGACTCTGGTGGTGGTGAAGGGAATTTTAAGTAACTCATTCCGCTAGCTAAGACAATATCTCCGTTGACTTCATAGATTGTACCAGAGCCATCTGGGGAGGTTTCAATAAAAATATTGGTGTGGTAGCGTATAGCTTGAGGCATGAGAGGATCTTGCATCGCGAGATGCCACTGGATTTTGTAGATTTTGTAGGTTTGTAAAGCCATCTTTTCGTGCTGATATTGAGTAAGCATCAAAGAGTTGTCGTCAAGAATTGGTGGGGGAAACCTGGAAATCAATCTATTGGCTAATCCTGATGCATACGGGGCTGAGGCTGATTTGCTGTAATTCAAACATCAAACTACTGGTTATGTACGCAGTATATTGGGTGAATAGCGCTAGCTCAAGGACTTAAGACAATAGTCGTCCAAATTAGCACGAAGGGTCACATCCTCAAAACCTATTCGAGAAAAGGTAAAAGGAATAAGAAGATGAAGACTACAACAACCAAGCACAATGTTGCAGCTATAGTGAAGAATCGACGAATCGCATCGTGTTCATATCTCTGTCGCGGGGGGCCAACCGTAACTGTCGTAATCAACGGAGTACGTTCGTTGCTCTCCATCATTTCATCGAGGAGTCCTTATTAAGTTCTACCGAAGCTGGAGTCATCTAGACGATGAAGTTCAACCGAGAGATTTTGACTAAGTATATTGAATCGAGTTTCATACGCGTCATGGTATGTGGGACAGAAATATAAATCTATTGAGCATTTCGTCTTATTGTCATGTCATCGCCGACGTCGACTTATTGTTATTCGTAGCGGGGTGTCAATAACACGCTAAACACACTCCCGCGGCCGCAATTCCGAAAATGCGGGGAGATTGCGACAGCTCTACAATAATAAGTCGCTTTCACAACTCCAATATTTCTTATGTTTCGAACAATTGTCCCCTATCGTTTGATGAAATGTCCCCTAGATTAATGTATCTTCCAAGACGACTGTTCATAAGTCTGCGAAGTCCCATATCAAAACGTTTCGAAACAACAATAACGCGCCAACCAGATGCCACTTCAGATTCACGATGGCTGGGTACGATCAAAGCTAGGATTGGAAAATGTATAATGTTTGGAATGAGTCGGGAACAAGCACGAGATGCAGGAAAAATACTCGAGGTACTGGGGCGAGATTGGAGGGAGTTGTTAGCTGGAAGACATGGTTATTTGGTGGATAAAAAGAGAGCTGGTCTAAGTCGACATAAGGTTGTCTGGGGGAGATGGACTGCATGGTATATTCCCCTTCTGGGCAGAAGGAATGGAGAATTGTACCTTCCTGGACGCATTTTGAGGTTAGTCAGGTAGCTAATTTGTAATGTACTACAGAAACATGTTAACAACGTCATGTACATACGATATGCAGAGAGTGCAAGAGTAAATTGGGCTCAGAATTATGCTGTCCATATCGATCCCCAGAACCAAGAAAAATGGAGACAAATGTGTACGCCAGAGGGCTACGGAATGATAATGAGAAGCATAAAGACGATGTATCTTTTTGTGAGTCTTTTTTGTATTACATTGCCCAATCAGATCGTTCGTATATTGTTACATTTTTACTAACAAACATTAGCCTATGACATGGCCAGATCACATTTCCGTATATCACAAACTCACCCATAAACCCAAAAGTAAAGACGAATTCTCTTTCAAATTGGATGTCTTAATCGTATCGGAATTACACCAGCGGGTAGCTGCAAGATGCGAGGAAGATATTGTGACGTATGATTATGTAAAAGGAAAGAAAGAGGGCTTACAACCATGGCTTTTGGATGCGTTCTCGAAGACTTGGGACGAGCAAAATGCGGCGATGAATAATGCACTGAAAAAGATCAAGGATATAGAAGAGAAGGTTAGGAAGTTGGAGGTTGATACCTGGGATAGGGCAGACGCGGTAGAGGATATGGGAACCCCGAAAAAGACTTGAAAGGCGAGAGCTAAGGCACCAAAAGTGATTGATATCGATAGTTCAGCACATTTGCAAGGGCGGTAATCAGCTCTAGCTACCGAGGTATGCCAAAATGTGTGCCGCAATTGGCATAACTGGCTCACCAGTACTGACTCGGCAGCAGAACGAGAAGTCATCCGCGTCTGTAGATTTGGATAGTAGAGTAAGGCTTTTACTGGGAGATTAATATTGCATAGAACGTCAATAATGAATGATAAAAGGATATGTAATTGCGTATAAAAATCTTCCGGACGACAAAACACGTGCCCCAGTGCATGCGGTGGATACAGCCATCTCTCGACTTACAAAAACCATTGAAACAGAGTTGTTGAGATCTCCGTAAGCAACTAATCTCAATCCCAACCATCTGCCTCTTCCCTCCTTAAATGAACCATCATTCATCCGGACCAATTCAAGCTCTCTGCCTTGCGTTCTCTTAACTCATCTTCTGCAAGATCTCAGTAGACAGTCCAGCATCCACTCTCATCACTATCAATGTCAAAACCATCTTTCATTCCCCGTCAACCTATGCAGATACACTAGCGAATTGAGATCAAGGAAGTAGAAACTATTCTTTTCTGCATGGTGGGAGTGAAAAGAGGGCATAGATTCAATGGCTGGGCACGTTTGTGTCCTTCTAACTTTATCGAACTCACAGCAATATCAATTTTTGGGGGCCATTTTTCACATGCGAATCATTCATCCATGAGTCGAATCGGCGCCTTCGTCCCATATCAGTGAGATGGGATTGTTCATTTCTCACATTCTCGCGAGGAAAGTTCTCCGAAATATTCTAGTCCCAAACGCCAACAACGTTTCCGGGGACCTATCCTATCTCTACTAAGATTCTAATTCAAGACACAACCAAGCTCAATCAAGATTTCTTCTCATCCTCACACTGAGCACAATAAGAACCCCAATACATCTCAATAAGCAGCCCCACAATTTCCCACCACCCCAGCTGCACATCTCCCCTCTTCCTCCCTGGACACGCGTAATGAAAATCTTTCACCATTTCCCAAACTCCCGGCCCCAAAGTCAAACTTGGCTGATATCCCCATTCCGTCCCGGTTTTCGTCTTCCTCTCCACCAGATACCACACCGTCCCATCTTCCTCTTCCTTAGAACCCCAGACTGCTTCTATCTTTCCCAAGCTCCCCCCGTTTGTCCCGAAATTAACCGGCCAGAATACATTGACAAAAAGGGTTTTCACGCATCGCAAGACGATATCGAGATAAACAAGCCCTGGTATCGGTGCTTTCAGTACAATCCGTCCCCACCACGATAGAGTCTTCGCGTGCCGTTTTGCTTCTACATCTCCCATATCGTAAATATCTCCGGGAATACCAGTCGGACCGGGAAGTTTATGCCAAGCCATAGGTGTATACCATCCATACATTGGCTTCTCTATCTCTTTCTTGTTTCCTTCCGCCGATTCTGGTTCCGGATCAGGCCGCCAGTAAAATTCATAATTCATCGATATTTCACTCATGCGCAATTCAGTAGCTTCTCTAATATCCAGTTTCCATCTAGAATCCCTGAGCTCGGTAAAGGTAAGAGAAGTGATGTCGACGAGGGGTCCAAGTTTGCGACTCTTTACCGTGTTGAGAAAGCGTCTGAACACTCGTTGAGTGCTGTATTCATGTCAGCATAAACAAGAATATACATCCTCTCATCTCCACTTCCAACTTCCAACTTTCAAGGAGAACAAACTCACCCTCTCCCATAATTCTCCCAATACCCATTAACCTGCAACGGTGCGCTCACCATTAAGCCTGGCACCACCAACTCTAACAACCCCCTATGCCAAAATTTGACATGTTTACTCGTTGCAAATAGAAATGTGTCCGGCGTCACCACATTTTTCAATTCGTGGTAATATCGCACGATGTTACTTTTATATCCCAATCCCTGCATGAAGAGTGCTTCGATTCTGCTCAGCCCGCGCGGAAAATAGAATGCTATGGCGGTGTTGGGGAGTGCGAAATCTTCTCCTGAGTTGCGTGTTAGTTTTCGTAGAGCTATATACGATGAATAAAACATCACATATGATAATTGAATCTAGCTATAAGCAGAACCAAGCCCCCTAGAAGCACCGAAAGTAAACAGAAAACACTTACTCAAAATCTCCACCCAACATTGAAACATAACCAATTGACACAATCCCTTCAATCCCTTCGCACCATATTCCACATCCAACTTCCATTCCTCTCCTTTCTCATTCCTCCTCTCCTCTCCTCTCACCCGCCACCCATCCATTTTCCCAATCCCAACACAAACCGCCTTGGAAACCATCAAATACCCCAACGGTAAAATCTCACTCCGTATAAAACCCACCTGCTCCGCATACAGCTCCGACGCTTTCCAATGAGCCTTCAATTTATGCCATACCGCAATCATCTGACGCATACGTAGCAGATCCTCCTCAGGCGGGATATTGCGACGTGGAATTGGATTTTTGACAGCAGGTTCCGACATCTTGGGCATCTAACCAAAACTCTCTCGCGTGTCAAAATCAAGTTGCAAATTTGCAAGATAGGCGGGTATCAGAATAAAATATGAACCTAGGTACTTATATTTTGCAAACTTTAAATGCGCTGACATTCATAAACAAAGCGGAATCTAAGAACACACAGCCCAATGCAGATTGTTGCCAACCATGCATATATGCATATCGCACTTCTTTGTCAACAAAACTCTAGGAAGGTCATGCAAGACCGAAAATTAGGCACGCACAAGGAACTAGATGAAAACAGAAACGAACAATCCAAACAAGAGATATCTACCTAGTAGATCACACGAAAAACGCTCAAGTTCCGGGCGAAGAGTAAGTTAACTGATTGATGGTACCAGTACCAAAGAAACAGTGATTAGTCACAGCCTTGAGTGACTGTATGCCATATAAATATCGATAGTTTGTTTATGCTGTATTGTAGTAGTATCGTATGAACATCACTCGCAATAAGATCTTGTTCAATATCCAAATACCTATGTATGTCATCATTCACCAAATCAATCAAAGTAGTGGAAATGAATTTGAAAAGGGGCAAAACAAGTGTATCATGTTGTTCTATACACTAACATGTATCTTGTTTTGCTTGCATATATCTCATCTCATCTCACCCTCGCATACCCATATTCATCCCTTCCCATCTCCCACGCTTTGCCCGGTCAGATCTCACCCTGACACGGTCACACCATCCACCTCTGAAACCTAATCATTACATGAAAACAAAACCCGATAAGAAGACCGCAAAAGAGAGTGTGAAAAAAGTCGGTTCGAAAATGCATACAACGCTCCACGCCTGCCAGTAGCCTGCCAAACCACCAATTTCCAAGCCCATGGAATAAACACAAGAAAGAAAAATAAACTCCTCCCCTTTCCGTTCATTGAAATCCATCCTTCTAGCCATTGAGCTTAGAAGTTGAAGCTTATGCTTTTGCTCCATGTATATTCTAATCTCTTCGTCGATCATGGTGACTCGACGGACCGAAATCAGGTGGATCTTGATGGGGTTTCTTGGTTTTTGGCATCTTGACATTGAATCGGGCTAAGAGTGCTAGATGATCACTAGGGAAATGGTAGTGTGGTAAACCGGGCACTGTTCTCATGTACTCTTCATCTACAGGCCCCAACAAATCGGTATTTTCGAGTGCGTTAGTCGAGTACCAGATATGATCAATGTGATCAGTGAAACCGGGTGTATAATTGGTCCATGTTAATTCTTGTGGACCGTCAGCTAAGTTAGTATAGGCAGAACGAAGGGAGAAAGGGTGTTCAATTCCGTCTCTCGTGAAATTTCCATATTGATAGTTGCCAAGGTCTGGATGATCTGGAGCAACTCTTCCAGTAGCTAACAATTCGTAGACGCTGGAATCTGAAGTAGAATTTAAATCACCACAAACAATAAGCGGTATTTGTGTCTTATTCGTATATTCCATGGACGGGGCAGGTTCTGGAGCAACTTCCACAGGGGCATCAGGATCTGAATCGTCCGTAATAGTATACGCTTTTTTATCTTTGCATGCTGGGTGTCGTTGATATTTCTCAGCAAACTTGCTGATGCTCTCCATTAGAATTGCAATTTGGATTAGTTTGACATCAGCATACGCTGGATCCCAGAATATGTGTGCATTGGCAACAATAACGCGTGATCCAGTGAGGCGGTTCTCGAAGAAAGCCAACACTGCAATGTGGTCCCTAGGCATGACACGATTGAAAATGTCATGTTGATTTTTCATATCAGGTCTGTTAATTGCGATGTTTGCAAAATCGATAAGTTGCTTATCGAGCAGAATGTATTTGTTGTTCTTATAGAAGGTTGCGCAGCCATCGACAGCCTTTGCGGCTGACTCTGACATAGTCTTGGCTCGTGATTTTGGCCACCATACACCTTTATAATCTTTGTATGCAAGTTTCACACTGAAAAATTCGCGGAAGTTTTCAGCATCAACTTCTTGGAGACATACAAAGTCCGCATCTCGTTCTTCGATTTCGCGTAGTATCTCGTGCCTTCGATGCTCCCAATCCAATGCTTTAGACGGAACGTAACCGTATTGACCGGGTCCCACATAATTATCACATAAAATGTTGTAAGAGAAAACAGTGAACCGCTCGACGTCAGGGGCAACCGTTGTGCCATTCAGTAGATCAATCATTTCTCTAGGGGCGGGAGGAGGAGGTACTTGGACCAATTAGTCACGAGATAGAAATTGTAGACTTATGAACTCACCTGGAGCTTCTTCTTTAAGAGTATGGATAAGAGCTTTAGTTCCCTTCTCCATGATTTCACTTCTAATGGCAGGATCCATTTGTTTATTGCCTTCAATGCCTAACATCTCGAGTTGATAGAGTGATCCAAATGATTGTGGTAATGACGTAAGTTGATTATCGAACAGTAGTAAATTCTTCAGATATACACACATGCCTAATTCGGGGGGTAGAGTCTGCAATGCATTGTTTGAGGCATCAAGATGAC